CTTTTCTTCCATCGCAAGACCCCTACACAAGCTGACAGAGAGCAACCAAAAGTTCTTGTGGACAAAAGAATGCGAGGATGCATTTAACAACTTAAAGGAGGCTTTAACATCTGCTCCAATCCTGACGTATCCTCAGCTTGACCGACCATTTATTCTCGACACCGACGCGAGTAATGAAAGTGTGTTGGTGCTGTTTTGTCCCAAGAAATAGACGGCCAAGAACGTGTAGTGGCATACTGGAGCAAGTGCCTGTCTAAACCGGAGAGGAATTATTGTGTCACCAGGAAAGAGTTTCTCGCCATAGTCAAAGCTGTAGAACAGTTCCATCACTATCTATACGGCAGAGAAAATTCCTGCTCCGCACCGATCATGCATCATTGACCTGGCTTTTAAATTTCAAGAATCCTGAGGGATCAAATAGCCAGGTGGATACAGAGACTCCAAGAATATGACATCACTATCCGTCATCGTAAGGGATCATCACACGGAAACGCCGACCGACGCCCTGTCTAGAAGACCTTGCCCAAGAAAAGCTGCCGATATTGTTCCAGGGTGGAAGCGAAATACGAGCTGCTGACTCCGGTCGCAAGACAAATTACAACATCAACATCGGCTGATCGAGAACCGTGGAGTGATGATGAAGTCAGGAAAGACCAGCTGGAAGACCGGCGACATTAAACCCATAATTGATTTAATGGAGTCATCAAGTCATCAAACAGAAACCTACCTGGCAGGACATTTCTATCTGTAGTCCTACAACCAAACAATATTGGGCACTCTGGGATTCACTTCACATTCGAAACGGCGGCGTCTTATACCGGAAATTCGAATCGGATGATGGGAAGACGTTCCGATGGCAACTTATACTTCCAAGATCCCGCATTCCTGATGTCCTTAAAGAGTTACATAGCACCCCTACTGGAGGTCACTTTGGAATAATGAAGACCTTGCAGAGAGTTCGTGAGCGCTTTTTTTACTGGAATAATGCAAAGGATGACGTGCAAAGGATGACGTGCAAAAGTGGTGCCGATCTTGCGATGCCTGTGCAGGTCGGAAAGGACCGAGGAGACGCAGCCGAGGCAAGCTGCAACGTTACAACGTAGGGGCGCCTTTTGAACGTATCGCCTTTGACATCCTGGGACCTCTGCCACGAACTGCTGATGGCAACAAATACATACTCGTTGTCATTGATTATTTCACCAAGTGGCCTGAAGCTTATCCTATTCCTGATCAAGAGGCTGTCACAGTAACTGAGGTAATGATACAGCACTGGATTTCCAGGTTCGGAGTGCCTCTTCAGTTACATTCCGATCAGGGAAGGAATTTTTGCCTCGGCAGTAATCAAAGAACTATGCAAACTACTCGGCATTGACAAAACTCAAACGACGCCATTGCATCCCCAGTCGGACGGACGGCATGGTAGAGAGGTAGAGAGGTTCAATCGAACCATCCTTAATAACCTCTCATTAGTGGATTTCCAAAACCAACAGGACTGGGACAAGAAATTACCACCTTTTTTACTGGCTTACCGCAGTGCTGTCCACGAGACTACCGGCTATTCTCCATCACAGATGCTCTTCGGTCGTGACCTTCGTCTGCCTTGTGATCTATTGTTTGGCCGCCCTCCGGATGCTCCTTCATCGTCTGAGGAAAGGAATATATTCAAGATCTCCAGGCCCGGTTTTGAAGTGAGTGATGCACAACTTTGCACGAAGAGCGAGAGTCAACTGGCGACGGAGAAGATGAAGACCCGCTACGACAAAGCTACTGAAGACATCAGTTCCACGAAGGAGACAAGGTGTGGTTGTGGAATCCGACTCGACGGAAAGGACTTTGTCCGAAATTACAGTCACCTTGGGATGGCCCGTATACAGTCCTAAAAAGGCTGAATGACGTCGTGGTTCGGATTCGTAAGTCTTCGAACTCTAAACCTAAAGTCGTTCATTACGACAGGTTAGCTCATTACTATGGCCATATAGTACGTAATGTAAATAATTGTAAATAGTATCAGACCATGGTCCTTTTTGTTTATAAATGTGTATTTAGTATTTGATTTGTATTTAGTATTTGATTTGCATTTAGTATTTGATTTGTATTTAGTATTTGTTTTGTATTTAGTATTTGATAGCATTTGATTTGTTTAAGTTAGTTATTGCATTTATTGTTTATATTGTTTGATATTGTAATGTAATGTTTATGCCTCAGTTGCATTTATGCCACAGTTGTAAGTTTAGCTTCCTGTCCAGGGATTGTACTGCCCGGGACGTGCAGTCCTTGGGAAGGGGGCAGTGTTACGAATTTGGTATTTAAAAAGCTAACTAATGTTAGTTCAATTATAAATTAAATGGTTTTATTTCTCGCGCAGTGTGCAGCGCGTGACGAATATTAAAAGAAAGCTAAGCCGGAAAAATTAAAAATACAAGAGCGCGTGCGTTAAATAAATAAATATCTCTTTTTGATTTCGAGAAAGTACTGGAAAATTCTAGCGCGTGATTTTAAAATCTTATAAAAGGAGGAAAACATCTCAGTTTGTAGTAGTTGCTTAGTTTGTTGTTGTTTAGAAAACTGCCGTTGTTGATTATAGCGAATTCGCGGATTAGCGTTCTTTAGCTGTTTTGAATTACGTTCTATTGTACATTTAAGTAGTTAAAAGATAACTACTGTGAGATATTGTGATACTGCATGATAATTTGAGAAAATTTAAGCATTTCTGTTGTGATAATAATAAATTTTTGTTCATTTTTCATCGGACTTGTGCATTTATTTCATAACGAACCCGTACGCACGCAACAATAAACATTGAACATTTATTTATTATTATGTTTTATTTATACATTTAGCAATGGCTTATTATGTCCTTCTGTGGACACTGGACATTTGCATATACAGTTTTGTGCAACATTCCCCATTATTTTATTTACATCCTTTAACTGAAGGTAAAATTTAAAAAAGATATTGTGAGGTTTATTTTTATTTATTTATTTTCAAAAACAACAGTATTGTCAAAAATTAATGCGTGCAGAAAATCAGCTTACATACGCTCCCTACTTTAACGAATGAGTTACATTTTGAGTGACCGTTCGTAAAATGTTACTAAGTTCACTACATTTTACGTGTACATCTAAAAGATGTTCGTGAGCTAATAGTTATAAATACTGCCAAAAAACAATAAAAAATTCTGAAACAAATTAATAACATATTTTAACATTTAAATACAGTATACGGCAAATAAAAAATTATAAATAAAACAAGAATCACTTTACTGTACCGTACGTACTTTGGACTGCCGTCTTTGCCGTATATGTGAATGATTGTATGAGAATGAGGCTAAGTGAGTCAATATCTGACTCGCACAGTGTAAACTCATGTATACTGTGACTTATATCACTTTTTAGGCAATAACATCAGGACAAGCCCGGGAAATTTGTCGTGATAACGTGTGCAAGATTGCACCTGTCGTCGGCAAGAGCCTTGAGCACATGTGAGAGTAGGACTTTGCTCAGTTTTTGATAGAGAGCGCCCCCGGAGGGGGGAAGGGTCCGAGGGTCTCCCACCCCTCTTCCTTTACCACCAACCTCTGGAGAGGACTTTACGCTAGCAGCATATTTAGAGTGCTTCCGAGCCGCACAGGCACTATATATTTGCAAACATCAATGCCTTCTCCGGGATTAGAATACGGGACTTTCGGTACGGTAATCAGCGTCGCTAACGACTTTCGCGGTTGGGCGGCCGGAAAACTCATGGATAAATAAAAGAGACATTTGGAGTGAGGAATTGTATGTGAGATGGAAGGAGTAGGAATGTCCAGATGGGCCAACAACATATATTTCTGAAGTGTTTTACCTCTTAAAATATATGTCTTAAGAGGCTTTCCTTTTTCTCTTCTGTAAATAATACAATAGCATTGCACAGCAGACATAGGAGCAAACCTGTCAGAATTTTGGTTATAGTTTTCTAAAAAAAAAAAAAAAAAAAAAAAAAGTCTCCAAAATTTTGTTTGATTCTACCCAAATTTCACTCTAAGAGAGGTTTGTTTGTATCTGCGAAACTTCATGCAGTAGTAAGCGTCTGTATTTTTTTTTTTTTTTTTTTTGAAAACTTGTCTGACCTAATAATCAGGATATAATGAAACATTGTGATGCAAGCAAGAGTCGTACAAGATACAAAATTCAAAAAAAAATAGATTACCCATTACCTTAGATAATGCATGATCGCACAAGTATATTTTAATAATATAAATAATTAAAAAAAATATGATATCATGAATATATTTCCTTTAATGGTATTGAAAGTATTTATATCCAATTATAAATGCTGAAAATAGTTACCAAAATCAGGATAATAACTTTAAAGCGGAGCGAAATTCCGCAATGGTTTAGGGGAATTTTAGGGGATTTTTTTTTTTTTTTTTTTAATTTTCACCAATGCCAGATTTTTCTGCGATTGTTTAAAAAATTTGCGAATTTCAGATTTTTTTTCCGTTATTCTTTTATTTAAGTGATTTCTCGATTACGAAAAAAGGCCGTTCTCGGAAGTTACGTAAGATTTACATCCATTGTCAATGCAGACAAACTATTCTGATGCCGAATGAATCTTTATTTAAGATGTGCTGCTTAATGAAAAAATAGGTATTAAATTATAATACATAAAATATAGATTTCAATTAAACAGTAGTTTCGATCTAATAGAATGGTATATGTTTCCACAAAGTGATTCGTTTATAGATATAAATAACGTAATTTTATTTAATTACATAATAAATATCTGTACTTTTGTTTTCATATTCTGTAAATACAAATCTTCGACTGTGAAAGTTTTTACGACGTTTTAGTGTAAATCTCATGCCGCAAAAATGTCGCGAATTTCATTTTTTACCTTGCCAATTACGCTTTATAATTTTCATTCCTATGAAATGTTATGTCTTTTTATCGCGAATCTATTTATTCATTAAACTCACTTCGTGCCATAAAATTTACCTTGGTTAACTTCTTTTCCCTAAGGTCTAACAACTAATAAACATCGCAAGACTGTTGGTTCTGGTCCACTTCATGTGCTGCTCATAGCCTATGCCAGAACAGGATCATCATTTCTCGGTGACCTCCTTCAAAGCCTACCTGGCACTTTCTACTATTTTGAGCCTTTACATTTCCTCAGCAATCCCGTCCTTAATAGTAGCTTCCATGAAGCAAGAAGTTTGCTAGATAAGATCTTCCATTGCAACGTTTCTAAGGTAAGAACTTAAAATAAATTTATTTAAAGAATTCTGTGTTAAATACAAAGCTGTTCATGCGAAGCAGCCCAAACATTTTGACACACAGAGTAAAATCTACATAGACTTTCGTTCAAAGCAATATTTATATTCAGTACCTTCATTTAATTTTATTCTCTGATTATTATATGACTTCAATAGTTCATTTTGAGCAGGCGATCGCCGTCAGAAGATTCATTATTTTGTGATAATAGCCATATAAATATTGCTTTGATGGCAATTTACGAACATAAAAAATGTAAATCTCTTCACAGTTCTAACATTGAAAACTTGCCATTTTTTTTTTTTTTTTTTTTTTTTTTTTTTTTTTTTTTTTTTTTTACATTTAGGACTGCCAAAATGTGAAACGTCAGTTATTCTTTTTCCGCGATCTAAAACACGGGTCTTCCGTTTGCTAGGCAAAGCGTTACATACTTATACTACTATGAATTCATGTGCATGGGAATGCGATAATTTCTTGAAACTTTGCAGTTTCATGATTAGAAAATATCGATATTTTAATTGCATTTCTTCACTTATAAAGCAACAATGCATTTGCTAATACCGATTATAGTCCTTTTGGTGAATTATCTTGTTTCACTTAAGTTTTACTAAGGTTTATTTTATTTTAAATCTTTACTATCACTTCTTATTTTCTACTTCCGGCCAGAATTAAAAGCTTTAACTTATTTATGCAAAATTTGTCTGGCGAACGTCAAGTACTTAAGTTGTGGCTTTTTGCCAAGCAAGAGAGGAAGAAGTTAGTCGAAGCAGGCCGCTTACCTTAGAAGTTTTAGCAGTTTTACTCGGTTGCTGGTTGCCTTCCAGGCCAGAGGTTTAATCCTCTTGATAATTTTAAACGTATTGTAGTGTGTTAACAGTTCTCTGTACTACATACGGCTTCCTGTTAATATTAATATAAGGCCAATCTTCCACGTTTATTATTCCAAAGTTTAAGTTAGTTAGTTTAGTTATATTTTTATATTCTTACGTTCAGACCACAAGTAGTTGGTCTCTGTATTCCGAAGTACGGAAATTATTGTAAAGAGAGAAAAATAAAGGGTTTTTTTGTATACCCTTCCTGTGTATCCTGTCTACTTCCCACATTTATTGAACATAGCTTTAGTAAGCTCCCTGTTCCGAGTCAGGTCCTTGCATGTTCCCAAGCAAGTAAGGCGGAACATTGAACCTGATAGTGGCGCCCCCCGACGAAGAAGAATAACCATGGCCGAGTTTCAAGAAGAACCTGTGCTGCCTGCAGAAGCGGCTCAGAATCCAGAAATGCCAGCTGCCGCCCTGGAAGGATTTGGTTACATCGTCCAGACCATGCGCGCTTCGATGAAACCAGAAGCAACATTTAATGGAAACTCACCGGTAACCAGTTTTTTGGAAAAATTGGATGACCACTTCATGCTGTATCCCGTGCACGAGTTCCAAAAGTTCACCTTAGCTACCAGCGCTTTGAGGGGCCAAGCGCTTAATTGGTTCAAAAATAGGCATAGAAGTCTCTTGGGTCAAGCAGGAAGTCCCACCTATACTTACGAAAATTTCAAGACTGCCCTAGTAAAAGCCTTCCCTGTCGTAAGGGATCGTGCGAAATTAGAAACGGAACTTTTCAGCATATATCAGAAGAAAACGAATCGAAAATCTCTCAAGCTTTATTTTAAGAAAAATTCACGTCTTCAAACTCTTGTATGGAAACCGTCCGGATCCTGAGATAATTCAAGTGATTTTGCCGAGGTTACTTCCCCAAGTACAAGACTTTATTGAATTAAGGAATCCGACTACACTGGAAAAGTTATTTGAGCTAGCAATCCAGTTTGAAAGTAGAAGAAGAACGGCGGACATTGAAAGAAGACGCCAATATCAACAACAACGAAACCAATTTGGTGCGCCAAGACCACAGCAAAGCACACGGCTACGGAAGCAAAGCGAATCAGTGGGCAAGGAAACCCGAGCATTCCAAAAACAGCCGGCGAACGTCGACAGTTCAATAGCAATCCAGGAAAAAAAGTCTCAAGGCCAGTGGAAAAAAAAGAAGGAAATGGAAAAAGAAAAAAAAAAAAAAGATTTAAACTAAAACGGATTTCTGCTGACGGGAGGGTGCGGAAATCCGAAGGCCAAGAAAAAACCCCTCTTCCTTCAAGTTAAATACAGTAATGGTGAAAAATTTGACTCTTCCGAAGATTGAAGATTGAAGTGTTGGTGAATAATATCCCAGCCACCGCACTCCTGGATACAGGCGCGCAGTGTTCCTGTGTGGCAGAAGATTTTTTTAGGAAGTATTTTCGTAAATACCGCATATATAATTCGGATAATACGACAGTGTTAGCTGCGCAAGGAGGAAAGAAAGATGCAAGTGCATAGGTAAATTACCGCTATACGTCCGTATCAAGGACGAATAAGTAAAGGTTATGTTTTTTTATAGTAAAGAATCTGCAAGCACATATCATCTTAGGAATGGATTTTCTTTCAGAGGCAGAAGCAACGCTGGATTTTAATGAAGCGTCCCTTAAGCTGACGATGAAACCAGTTCGAGAAGAAAAAACTGAACCGCCCAATGTTAAAAAACAAATCTTGACCACCTGCCTAATGAAGGAAGAGCAACAAAGAATCCGACAAGTGGTAAGTGAATTTGCTTCGTTATTTAGTGATATTCCAGGATTTACTCAAGTTACTAACCATAGTATTGACACCGGAGATTCAATGCCAGTTCGCCACAAAGCATACCGGTATGATAAGAATAAAAGAAAAAATTATAGAATGGCACATTACCGATATGCTACGTAAAAAGATCATAACGCCCATCTCAAGTAGTTATGCTAGCCCGGTGGTTTTATGTAAGAAAAAAATAATGACTATCCTTTAACACATCCAAAAAGGGGGGCGTTTCGCGATTGACTATCGTAAATTAAACTCCATAACTAAATATCCGGTATATCCGTTACCTATTATTGAAGAAATTCTAAGGAACATAACGTCTACCAAATATATGACGACTTTAGACTTAACGACTGGTTATTTTCAAATAGGGGTTAGACCTGAGGACGTGCCTAAGACTGCTTTTATAACCAAGTCTGGCACTTATGCATTTCCTGCGTATGCCGTTTGGCCTTTCAGGGGCACCGGCAACATTTCAGCGATGTATGGACATTGTGTTAAGGCCTGTTCTTGGAAAGTCCACATTTATCTATTTAGACGATATCATTATTACTAGTGATAATCTGGACCAACATGTACAGGATTTAAGACAGGTGTTTTCTTTATTAAATGAGGCCGGTCTAAAAGTTAATGTCGAAAAGTGCAAATTTGCAGCCCCTGAATTAAAATATTTAGGTTACAAAATATCTCAGAAAGGAATCGAGACAGACGAATCAAAAATAATCGCTGTACAAAAGTATCCGACTCCAAAAACGGCAACACGGCGAAGAAGCTCTCTTCTTTTCTAGGACTTTGTTCATATTATAGGTCCTTTATAAAAGATTTTGCAGCTATTGCTGAACCATTGTTAAAATTAAAAAGGAAAAAGGCAAGATTCTCGTGGACGGCCGAAGCCAATAGTGCTTTCGAAAAATTAAAACAAGCATTAACGCAAGCCCCTGTGTTGAAATTTCCTGAAAAGGATGAGAATTTAGAAATTTCAGCGGATGCTTCGGATTATGCGGTAGGAGCGGTACTTTCGCAAAATCAGCAGCCCGTGGCATTTTTTAGTCGAACTTTAAATCAAACACAAAGAAAAGAAATTATTCCGCGACCGAGAGAGAGGCACTTGCAGTTCTGTTAGCAGTGCAAAAGTTCCGAGTCTATTTTGGAAAGGCGCCAATAACAGTGTATTCTGATCATGCGGCGGTAACTAGATTGTACTCAGGGAAAAAACTTATCCCCAAGGTTAATAAGATGGGCACTCAAGCTACAAGAATATAATCTGGTAATCAAGCATACCCCCGGAAAGGAAAATATCGTAGCAGATGCCCTATCCAGAATAAAAATAGATGAAGAAGGTAATACTGTAAAGGTGGCAATGCTCACAGCATGTACAATAAATTCCCGAGAAACTGTAATAACCGAACTGGGTAAGGATCCTGAGTTTGGAAACATTTATGAGTATTTAAAGGATCCTGAAAATTTTAGCCACCAAGATATTGTGGCGATAAGAAATAGGGCGGCCCATTACGAACTAATAGATGGTCTATTATTTTATACAAAAACTACGAATTCCAACAACGAATTTCGACCTGTTATCCCAGCTAGTCTTAGATTAAATATCCTGCAGGAGCTACATGACAGCCCTTTAGCTTCTCATGCTGGTATTCGAAAAACTATCCAACGCGTACGCGAGGCAGTCTATTTTCCTGAACTGCAAAAGTTAACAAGGGCGTATGTCCAGTCCTGCCCAACATGTCAAGCAGTTAATTATTATATTAATTTCCGCCCGGCCGGGTTTCTAAATAGTATTAAATCCGAATTTCCAAATGAAATAATTGGCATCGATTTATTGGGCCCTTTCCCAAAAAGTCAGTTAAATAAAAGTCGCTATCTCCTTGTTATGGTTGATCATTTTAGTAAGTGGACCGAAATTGTTCCCTTAAAACGAGCCTCCGCGAAATTAGTTACTGATTCTATTTTAAATAAATATATTTTAAAATACGGGGCGCCCCAAAAAGTTATATCGGAGTTATATCGGATAATGGTCCTCAATTTGTAAGTAATATATTTGAAGACATGTGCCAAAAACTGGGCATACGTCATTTAAAAATGGTCCCGTATCGGCCGCAATCAAATATAGCGGAACGGGTCAATAGAAATATAGTGAAAATTATCCGTAGTTATGTTAAAAATTTTCATAAAAGCTGGGATAACTATGTCAATGAATTTGCTTTCGCCCTTAGGACCGCAAAACATGATACAACGGGCAAAACTCCTGCTGAGTTATTTTTAGGCAGAAAGATTATAACGCCGTTAGATAAATTATTTTATGTTCA